CTGAAGTTTGAATCATCTAAATAATTACTGGCTTAATGTCAAAGTTATTGGCTTGGATGGTAGGTCTACGAATGCTAAAATGAATGCCTTGAATGAGAGGTATAACATATTCTTGCAAAGACTTGTTTTCCTTTTGTTAATCAGCCATTGTTTCAAATTGAGTCGAAGCTTGTGAATTTTCTTTTCGAAGTTTTTGAAAATTCTTTACGATTTTTGGATCAAAAGGAACAATTTTTAAACTTCTCATTTTTTGTATACAATGACCAAAAGTACCTAAAAACAAAAAAAAAGCTTGAATTAAGACTAAGATTGCTTAGTATTAATATTAACAAAGAAAATTTGGTAGAACTCTCCAACAATAACGTCAAAAACTTGTTTTTAGATTTACCATGCAAGTGCACGTATCGTTAACAAGTAATATAATAGAAAGTAAAGTTCATTCCTACAGAGAATTGCCTAAATCCATTTTCTAAGTACCAAAATTAAAACAACTCAATCTTATCCAAACAATCAAATTTTAGAACTACTAAAAATTAAATAAACTAAAACTAAAACTAAAACTAGAACTAGAATTAGAACTAAAAGAACAAGTAACAATTTAACTAATTAATTAATAAACCAAAGGTCAAGAACCACATTATCCCCTCAATGTTTCATCTGAATCTTTTTAATTCAATCTTGACTCAGTAAATAGGCTTAAGTTGTTAATCTAGAGTTTTAATTTATTTATAAGGCTCTTTCAATGCTCTTACAAAAATATCTTTCTTAACCAATTTCCTATATTCCTATGTAAATTGAAATCAAGAAAGATTCATTTAGCTTAGAATCTAATTATGGCTACATAAGACATGTAAGTGTATTTCTACCATTCACGCGAATCAAATCAATCATCTCATGCAATTGATATTGAACATATGTTATTTCATCCATGGCTTACTCTAAACTTCTTTTTTCAATTCCATTTAGGTTTCTAAATCAATCTAACTGGTGGTCAATCAATCAGACACATTAAGAATATGATTGAAATAAACAACTCAAACACTATCAATTATAAGCAAGAAAGAATATTTAAAATTCAAACTACATATTGGGTTCAATTGTAATTCTAGATTTAAAAACCTAGTTCCACATATCTAATAAAAATATCATCCAAAAAAGAAATTTAACCATAAAAACTAAACAAAAAAGCATAAAGATAATAAGAAAAAGAAAGAACTCCAACATTTATCAAGCTTTCAATTTGAAATCTTCCTTGCTTTCTTGCTAGCTTCAATACCTCTTTTTCTTTTGGACTCTTGAAGTGTCTTTAAGTGATTAAGGCATTGCAGCCATGAAGTGGTGAAGGTCACAGCCACCAAATGTGAACTTTGAATTTTCAAGCTTTACTACACTACTTTGAATTCCTATGTGATTGTCTTCTACTTAGAGGCTAACATATGATACAAAAGAAAGAAATATCTTAATAAGTCAACATAATATATGATACTAATAATTGCTTGATACCAAATAGTTTTCAAACATTTATTATAAAAGAAATGTTGAAAATTTTAAAGAAAGAGAGTTAAATGCTACAAATAGGTATCAAAATAGTTTTAAATGTCATATCCAACACCAAACAACACCACTTTGAATAGAAAATGTTATTTGTATAGTAAATATCTACATAGGAGTAAAACAAATACGAAAGAGGGGAAGGGAAATAACTCTCTTGCATGAAAAGGAGAGGAAGGACAATTGTGCCGGTAAAAGTGTCAACAAGGTTGGAAAAGAGACATAAAATTGCGAGAGACTTGGGCATAGTAGTGAGAGCTTCGAGCAATGGATAGGGAGGGATATCAAAGAGACAGAAATGGTGAATTTTGCAAAAGAAAATAAAGGAAATATTAAAAGAAAGGATAAAAGCATAAAAAATAGAAAATAAGTAGTTACTAGGACATAATAAGCCGATATGGATGCTAATGTCATTGCCACATCAACATTTCGTCTCCCAAATTTAACAAAGTGATCAAATTTAAAACAATTTGATAATTTGATAACTCAAATGAAACAAATTGAAGGTTGATGACTCAAGATAATCATTGGGAGTAGACATGTTCTTGACTAAAGGTTATCCAATTTGTATATTTAATCTCAACCTTCAATGTAGAAACATGGTTTCTTACAATTATTAATGACGTAAAATGTTGTTATCGTGCGACTTACCAATATAGAAATAATAGAAATGGAAGATTAAGGTTTTTATAAACTTATAACTTAAAGCTAATTAGATGACAAATATCATGAGAAGGGCATTGGATAACACTAACCCTAAACACTTTTCAAAAGTAAATGGAACGCAAGTCACACGTCATTTTTTGACCACAATGGATTATCAACTTCAAATTTATAATTGCAAACAGAGCAATGATACTCTAAAGACATGGGTCATGCTATGAGTAACAAATGTAATTTGAATGGTAAATGCTTGAGTAGGAGTAAAAACATAAGTCACGGTAAGACTACTAAGTCAATCCTTGTAAAAGTTCTCTTGCATCAAAAGTAGTCCTCTTTTATACACAGTGTAAATCATTAGTCAAACAAATATGAGGAAGGGAAGGGAAATAAATTAAATAGACAACCAAGTAGAAGTTAGAAAAATCTAGCTTGGACTTAGTTCAAATCTATAAGTCCTAATCTATCCAAAATTTTATATGTATATATATAAATAAAAATTATATGTATGTGTATATTTATATACTTATAGATATTCATATATATATATATATATATGAATGTATATATATTCCGCTTGTAAGCTCTTTTTTCATACTCCATAAATATTATAATTTCTAAGGTCAAATAAGTGTCTTACCTACAATTCGCAAACCATACAAATGAATTCAAAGCATTGCAATTTCAAAACTCAATTACATATCCTTCATGCATATCTCAGATTTAAGGAGTTCAAAACTGAATCATTTCAATTTTCTAATGCTGATGCTTTTTCATAGACATATAATTCATAAGGATTCAAAATACAAAACATACTAGTTGTAAGCTCACCAAACTTTCGCTGCAGTACTATAATCAAACTCCTAAAATTTGGCCTTGCAGATTGCGATGACATGTGTAGGTTAAGTTCATCTTTGATTTAAATCATTTCTAACTACGAATTGGTAGTTACCTATGCAATTAATTACTTTCAAATTTAATATTTTATAACAATTTATGTATATTCAAAAATCTCTTCTAAAGGTGAAAAACTATTAAAAAAATCAGTTAGATATCTAAACTAATCTTCTCTATATAAATGTAATTTGAATAGTAAATGCTTGAATATGAGTAAAAACATAGGTCACAGTATAAGTGCCTAGTCAATCCTTATAAAAAGTCTCTTACATAAAAAGTAACCCACTTTTATACCCAATGTAAATTGTAAATATATATTAGAAAAATTTCTCTTGGTCTTAGTTCAAATCTATTCAAAGTTTTTTATATATATATATATATATATAAATTTCTCATTATAATTGTGGAAAAAGACTAATATTGAGTACAAATTAAAAAAAAATTACGAAAGGTTTGTTTCTTGGATTCCGTATAAGATATGTACGAAAATTATTAATAACAAAAACCAAAAAGGATGGCAGCAATCTGTGACCTGTCCGACGTGTGGCCCGCCGCATGTAAGGAGAAAACAAGAGACAAATCATCAGTGTAGCTCGATAATCTCTGGCTGCCCATACAACCAACAAATTATGGTTCAAAGCTGGGAGCCAAAACCACTTTTTCACCCCTGTTTATCTCCCAAGTAGCATGAACGTGAGAACCACTTTCCCTGCCTCAAACCCCAGTGTTAGGGGTCTCTCATCTAATGACTAAACAGTCTAAACTGCCTTAACTTTTGTTACTTCACTCCAATATTTTATGTCTACTTCTTTATCGTTTCTTCATTTTTTTTAGACTTTAAAGTAGTTTAATTAGCTTAATTTCTATAATTCTTTTAAACAATGCTGGCTGTCCTGGAATATTTAAAAGTAAATTTCTTTTTGCTATTAAACAAGCAGAATGTTGGTGAGAGCTGCGTCTCAGAGTGACCGCTCAAGTGGCCAACTTTCTTTTGTCTGCAACTTAAAACCTAGGACGACGACGACCTGCCTCCAGTTTATGCTCTTATCTTAGCACATTTTTCATCAAAAAGTTAGGAATAACAGGCATTTGAGAGGTGGACACCTTTTTGTTTTCATTTTAATAAATTCGTAAGTTTTTTTAGTCCTGCCAAAAGGTAGGTTCTTCGAAGAGATAAATAAAATTTCAAAAAAATTGGTGAACTCTCTAACAGAAAAGAAAAGTAGAGCAATGAGGGTGCCTCCATTATCAAACAAGGGGGTGTCCAGATCATTATCCGTTAGAAAACTATCCAATAATACAGTAGGTGACTAAGTAAAATTATCCAATCAAAAAATATAATTTAGGTTGCTTTCTTTATCCAACTTCCATTAAGCCAAATAATGGAGTGCCCTTAGGTATACATATGCACTAACGAGGTATAGGCGACTACAATCACTTATGCCAAACTGTTAAACTCTAGTACTAACTATGCTGTGCGAATTTTTACCCTAAACAAAAAAAAAAAGCAACAGTCACTAATTTTTGAACCTTGATGCTATATCTGCATTATCCACTGCTTACTTGAAAAGAATTAATCACTACGATGGAAAAAAGAAAAAAGAATCAATCACATTTATTAATTATCTTATATTCCTCATTGAAGGACCAGCTTTTGCGTACGATTTCCAGTCCAAGTTGCTAATGTTTGTACCCAGGGGAATAACAGGGGCATTTAACAAGTTCAGATTTAGGGTACCCTTGCAAATTAGAACCCAAACAAGGCTATTTTTGTAAAACTGGCTTTATATAAACTGTCTTTTAACTGCCTCACCATCCTCGTTTCAAGCAGAGTATACCACCTGAGCTCCCTTCATCACTTGCTAACTAGAAAGAAAAGGAGAAAGCTCGAGATGAGGAGAGATAAGAGTTTATATCTTCTAGCACTTGTCGCTATCATGTTTCTTGTATTCATCACATCTTCTATAACCTCAGTCGAGGGAAGAAAGCATAATGTCAATAAAGGCAAGCCTCGTAAGCATCGAAAAGATAAGAACAACAAAGGCAACGGTGCTTCACACTCAAGCCCTGCACCAGGGCCTCTTCCTGGTTACGACTATCATCCAACTGGTTCGAACATTTTTGATGTTTTGTCTTTTGGAGCCAAGGGTGACGGAGTTTCCGATGATTCAAAGGTAAAATTAGTTGTGCAAATAAATCTGTGCTAAGAGAATGAGACGATGATTTTGTAGTGACTTAATGTTCTAAAAGTTCTAACGCTCGAAAATGTCAACAAATTAACAGGCACTTCTAGCAGCATGGAAAGCTGCCTGCAAGGTGCCTGAGGCAACTGTAGAAATTCCATCAGAATTCAAATTCCTGGTCAAGCCCATAACTCTTCAAGGTCCATGCATGCCTAACCTTGTTTTTCAGGTATGCTTTCTCTTCATTTTAGCTGATCTCCCTCACCCTGACTCTCAAAATAATATTTTACCTAAAAAGAAATAAAAACGGCAACAGGTATATTCTGTGTCAGATTTTAATACTATCTCTCTTTACATTAAAATGCGCAATGCACGACGCTAATCCGGATGGAATTCCAACAGATAGATGGAGCTCTGTTAGCCCCCCCAAAAGTGGGTTCCTGGCCAAAGTCTAGTTTGTTTCAATGGCTAAACTTCAAATGGATCCAGAATTTTACTATTCAAGGTACTGGAGTTGTTGATGGTCAAGGCTCTCAGTGGTGGACTCCATCTGATCAGATTTATTATATTCAGGTTAATTATCTATACATACCATCTTATTTCATTAAACTTCGAGTTGAAAGATTTTACAAGTACCTGAAATAATAGCTAAACCTCATTTTTAATGTACCTTTTGCAGAAAAAATTCAAACACATTCCAAATAGGAAACCAACCGTAAGAGTTCATTAATCTTTTACAACTAATTAGCTTCTTTTTACGGTTCTGATTTACTTTGGCCGGCCGTTACAGGCTTTAAGATTCTACTCAAGCTACAATGTGACAGTTCGCGACATCAAAATCATAAACAGCCCTCAATGCCACCTAAAATTTGATAGCTCAGGTGGTATCAAAGTAAACAACATTACAATTTCTTCTCCAGAGAGTAGTCCAAATACCGATGGTATTCATCTGCAAAACACACGAGATGTAGAAATTCTCTATTCCAATATTGGCTGTGGTAAGCTCCAAAAGAAATTTTTCATGATCAATATTCATCTTAACAAAGGACACAATGAATATGTATACTAGCTAGTAAGCTGCAAAAACAAAGTTAATTGTACTTTGTCTATATATAACCAGTAAAATATAATCGGAGTTTGAGATAGTGCACAGCACGTTATACTTTTTCAGTGAAAAAGTTACTCATCTTATAGTGAAGACGTATGATTGGTTTCAAGACCATTTAAACGGTATAATAACTGTCACACCAAACTAACTTTTGAAACAAGCATGGACAAAAAGTAGACTCGAACCTGTGGGGGCCTAGAATGATTATCATTAATTTATTATGTTTTGCCAAAGTTTAATACACTAATTAAGTAAATGGGGTTTTCTTTTTTGGCAGGAGATGACTGTGTATCCATTCAGACAGGTTGCTCGAACGTTCATATTCACCATATTAATTGCGGCCCTGGTCATGGGATTAGGTAAATTGAATTCCATGTTTGAAAGCCAAATATCAGCACGTAAAATGCTTGCTTCAGCAATATGAACTAATTTTAATGTGGTAATGAAATCTGACACTTGGATATGCATTTTCCTGACAATCCAGTTTGGGAGGTCTGGGGAAAGACAAGAGTGTTGCATGTGTCTCGGATATAGTTGTTGAAAAGATCTCACTGCTGAATACACTAGCTGGAGTTAGAATCAAGACTTGGCAGGTACAAAGTTTCTGCAAGCAATAAGTATTGTAAACTGATTTCTTTTTCAAAATTGGAGTAGATGTTAGACGATTGCTTCAACTCTTCATTTTTTTTCTAAATTACCTGTATCTGACGGATATGGATATGGAGTTCAACCCTTTAAATCTATGCAAAACTTCAATGAAAATGGAACCTATTGTGTCAGATACATACCCATATCCAATATTCACCTCCGAATGAGGGGCACAGTAGATTTCAGCTTTCACCAGGCTCAACCTAAATTTTGGAAATTTTATGATGCAGGGTGGTATGGGATCTGTCAAGAACGTGTCATTCTCCAATATTCAAGTCTCTGACGTAAAGGTTCCTATAATAATTGACCAGTACTACTGTGACAAGAATGTTTGCAAGAACCAAACAGGAGCCGTGGCAATATCTGGTGTTAAATATGATCAAATAATCGGAACTTATTCGGTACAACCGGTTCATCTTGCTTGTAGCAATGACATCCCATGCACTGACGTTGATCTTATCGATATTCAATTAAAACCCTCCCTTAGATATCGAGGTTTCCATCAAGCATTATGTTGGAACTCTTATGGGAAATCACAGGCCCCTTTGCTTCCTTCAAGCATAGACTCTTGCCTGAGAAGGGATGGTGGTTCAGTCAAGAGAATAGCTAGATCTCGCGAGAATGTTTGTTTTTAGCTTAGAAATTATAATATTTAGGCCAGGTTAATGTATTGGCTTCTTTTGATTTGCTCCCCGTTTCCTAGGTTTACATAATGCTGTTTGATGCTTCCCTTCTATAACTTTTTGACTCTAAGAAGGTGATGCTTTGTAAAAGAATGTAATTTATTTTCCAAAGTAATTAATGTAGCCTAGCTAATTGGTGTTTATAAAGTAGAAAAAATATGGTACGATTTTATAGTGATCGTTGTTACAATGGCAGAGCATAGTATAAGTTTGATAAGGAACGATAATCTAATGTTCACAATGATGGCATTCGAATTTACAAGGTAGGTTGAAAATTAAGGAAGCTCTTTCTGATCAAAATATCGAACAAACCCATATAACTACCCCAAACATAACCTTTTAATTATGTAAAGAAACCACATATACTAACATATAGTCATAATGCTATTCTTCTACAATGAGATGCTAACAAGCAAATTAAGCAGTAGCGGCTTGTAGCTTGCAAATAAATCCACTGTGCCTAAATTAATTAATTTAGGTATTGGCACATGGTTCTTGTAGGTAGTCCTAGAGATTCTGGGTGAAGAGAGAGACATGAGGTTCATTATTAATTAATTTTCTTTTCCCTTAAAAAGGAACAAAAGAAAGGCCAAACCTCAGAAATGGCTAGCCTAGGGTAGTGGAGTGCCAAAATGCCTAGGGTTGTGGAAGCACAGGGGGTTCCCATCCCACGACAGTAAAAGGAGACTAAGAGCTACGGCGTCTTAGACGACCTTCAGTCTGCGCTCAACCAATGCAACAAAGTAAGAGAATGGGGGATAGCTCCTGCTTATGGGCTCACCCTCCTCAACTGGCTATTTCATTGCTACGGTACAAAAAGTGGTCATCGCAAATTTTTATCCAGATGTTGCATTAAAAAATTTATCTCCAAAGGCTAAGAAAAGCAATTAAAAAAAAACCAACTCAATTCGTTTTATACAGACACGAAAATAAATTGATCAAAGAGTGACAAGAATATATTTCTCTTGCTCTAGTGGCAACAGCCACGAGCTAGAGAGCAAGGCTCTAGATGCTCAAGGCTCAAACCAACTCCCAAACAGCAGTACGCATTCAAACATGCATCTACATTAATCCTTTTTTGTTCACTGAAAAAAAGTTGAAAAGAAGGCAGAGCCTTGGGGTTCATGTTATGCTACTGCCAGGGTTACATATCTTAATTAGTCATGTACCAGCTGGTGCAGGTTTTTTTTTTTTTTTTCCTCTTTCAGAGGTAGGTTTGGTGCTGGCTTTTTGAGTTAGTTGGGAGGGTGTTGGTTACCGAAAAGGTTTTGGGTGGTGATGGGGCTGATGGAGTGGTGCGTGCACCGTCCATTAACCCATCCCTTTTTTAGAGAATCTCACTGCACGCGCATGGTTTCTAATCACAAACTTTTAGTAGGAAACATAAAAGGAAGACCAAAACCAGAAAGGGTAAAAGAGGAACGTGGGGCATCGAACCAGAAAGGGAAATAAATAAAAACGTGGGTCCTTATTAGTTATTCCTCAATCATTCCCTGGCTTGCCAATCTCCTCTTAGGAGATTGTGACACCCTAGTCACATGGTGAGAATTTGGGATATAAATATATATATATATGTGAGATTTTTAAAAAAAATAATATTGTAAGACTTTAAATCAAAGTGAACAACACCCCTTAAATTGGGGTGTGGATTTTCATAGTCACTGTCAAAGCATTCATCAATGGAGAATTGGTGGAATGTCGAAGCCTTGAGGAGGGAGATTTTGACACTTTCAATCTCATTTATTTGAATTTACATTTACGAGAATATGTGAGAATTAGTTATGTTGTATAATGTAAAAATTTAAATTTATAAGATATTTTTTATGAACAAAATTGTAAAATTTCCTAAATTAACGTAGATAATATCTTACAATGGAGTAAGATATGCCAATATCCACGGTTAGCATTAGTGTACCCAACAATGGAGACTTGATAGAAACACCAAAGGCTTAGCAGGGAGATTGTGATACTTCTAATCCAATATTGAAAATTTATAAGGATCCATTATAGTGCGGGTGTAAAACTTGAATGTATGCTTGAGACGTCATAATCTAAAAGGAAAATGTTTTCGGGTTGATAGTATATAATAAAACATTATAACTGAAACACATGAAAAGAAATAGGAAACATCAAATTGTGATATTTTCAATATTTTTGCTTCTACATTTTTAATATTTTGGGATGTGAGAATAAAATTGGAAATACTTTGAATCAGAGTTACATTGACATTTTATTAATTTAAATAGTTATTATAATTTTCATAAAATAAAAAAAAGTTTTCTTTTCTAAAATCTAAATGGATAACCATGTAAATATGTTATAAACAGTTGTCAATCGAAATGAAATTTATAAAATGAGAAAACACTATATTTCATGGTGTAATATAAACCGCATGCATACAAAAATTGACATGTTATAAACGAACTCTAATTTTCACTTATTAAAATAAATCAAAGATCTTTTACTCCAAAAGCGACGTTGGAATCTCTAAATGGGCTCATTTAAAGGTTAGAAAAATAGAAAAGGAAAATCGCATGTCGTGTAAATGGGCTAATTAGTATATTTCTTGGTGATTTTGAGAAATGGGCTCATTGAAAATTCGCTAATCGAAGGCCCCAATTTCTCTCGGCCCAACGTTCCAACTTTTACCCCTGGTTAGCGGCTCAGCGCCCGCAGTCGTTCGTTATCCATTTTTAGGATGGATAGCTGGGCAAGTCTGTAGCTTGCTTTATGTATATGCGTATATAATTACCTTCTGACAGAAACAAAAGTGTTGATTTGTTTAACAAAGGAATATCTTCAACGGTTTCGATCCTGCTGAGGTATGTTGTTTCTTGTTTCTTCATATGATTTGATCTTGCATTTTAAATACACTCAAAGCTTAGTTTTTCTTCCATGACCCATACATTGTGTTGCTGATTTACTGTCTTAACCTACATGTTTAACTCCTTAAAAATTGCTGGAATTTTTAAGGGTATTTCCTGTTGGTTTCTATGTGCAAGTAATTACTGTCACAACCTTGAAATGGACTATATTAGACAACTTGACTGATGTAGTTCTTTCTTAGTTTTAAACTACACTTCCATGGCTGTTGCTAAAATATTTTTTTTACAATTGTACACCAAGCCATTATAATAAAAGAAATTTTCGATTTTGTCACATCACTCTATCTGTTTGAATAAACGACTAGATTTCTTTGTGCGCGGGGGGTTTCTGCCTTTCTTCGTTTTGCCATGTTATGATTCTTGGTTTGTGGGGTTTTTATTTTAAATGCAGCTATCTCAAGATGCTGTCTTCCAAATCGGCGAGAATTAGTTTACTTGTGCTTGTATGTTTGCCACTTATATTTAAAATTTAAACTAATAATAACATATAGTAACTTTGACTTGGATTTATTTATTATAAGTAATGAGTGGATAAGCTCCTCTTGACTTCTTGAAATTTATCACTGACATAGTGGTGATCTTAGCATTTAAAATGAGACTCACAATCCAATTCAAGCTAATCTTGTGATGTTTGGGGTACCGCTTTTGGTTCTCAAGCCATTTTGGGTGCTGTGATAAAATTTATGTCAATTCTGATGATAGGATTATTAGTTAAATGACCACTTTGATCGCCAATTAGAAATAGATAGATTAAGAAATTTATGAACTTAAGACCTAAGTTAACCTATTAGGAAGGATCTTATGTTAGTGAGGTGAATTATCATTTTTTCTAGGATCGCATGCCCATATATTCGTACATTTAGTCCCTTAACATGTAATGATAAATTATTTCAGCTAGTCAAATATAATATTAAGTTTTGTTGTATATAGAGTCATAATCTCTTGCTTTTCAAGTTCAAGAAATGGTTTTGGTGCTGTTGACAATAAATTTTTTAATTAATGAAAAACCTATGTAATAGCTAGGATAGCTAGGATAAAGGGTTTAAAATACATTAAGGAGAAAACCCAAATCAGAAGGACCGAAAAAAAAAAAACAGGAGGAAACCCTATAAAAACATAGATCTCTAAGGTGATTAATTAACAAATGTCTTGATTGTAACTTTGACTACTTGCAACCATTAACCTGCTCATGAAAATACTTTGGCAGAAGAAATATAGACAAAAATTACATGCAAAGATAGTGGGAAAACTTGTGGGATTGGCTAAACAGTTGTAGGTGGAGTACCATTAGAAGGCATAGCTGCAGAGTGCACCCCTCTTCCTCTTTCACTTCTGCTGTTATCAGCAAATTTCAAGCTTGCCTGATGTAGACCCTTTTCCTTCTCTTTTGAGCTCCATTCGGACAAGTAGTAGTCTTCTTCTGTGGCAATCTTTTCTGATGATGGACCACAAAACATCCCACCCCATTGTGGGAAGTATATTAGAAATATTGCAAGGGTGCAGCATACGATCATGACGCCCATGAGAGTAATTCCAGTTTCTTTAGAATATTTGGATCCCTTGAAAAAAATTAATTGAGTCAAAACTGCACCCACATTTCCGCCTCCTCCTGTCATCCCAGATATTACACCCAAGGACCTGAAAGCAAAGTCAAGATATTTGGAGGATTAAGAGAAATAGGCTTTAAATGAGAGGCTGAACCAATTGCAATGAGGCATCAATGTAAAACAGTAAAATCGGCCTTTTTCTATTTCTTTGTGCATGTGTGAAGCAAAGAAATGTTATGACTGTGAAGAGAAGCCCATAGGATGCACGTCACATGATTTGAGAGGCATTAGAAGTTCTCCATCTATTTTGTTTGTCTGGAAGGGGGATCCATCAGAAGTTTAGCAGCTTCTTTTGTCTCTGGTTTGGCTGTTCTGACCTTGCCTAATTGGTGATCCCACAATTTAAGAATGTCATAAGTTATACCCTACCGGAGAGCAAACAGACCTAAGGAAATAAGGGAGATATCAAACTAAAAAGACTGATTGAATATTTTTCCGTTCTCACTGAGATAGGTAAAGA